TTAGCTCTTACTAAATATTAATACCTTCTCAACACATCCAATACAGAAATATCTACTGTTTTCGTCCTCGTAATGTATATGTTCCATTGCAAGCTTTAATGCCTTCTCTCTCATCTTAGTAAATGGCCAACGGTTAGCAATTGGCTCTGCAACATGGTGTAAGAATCCCCATAGAATATCTTGTGCTAGAGGATGAGGATAATAGACATCTTCCTGAAATTTAGATATACAATTATAATATGAGTATTACTTGAATTATGTGATAATATATATATATATATATATATATTGTCAGAAGCATCAGCTTCTTCATTAGGGCATGAAAATTTTACTAATTACCTTAGCTAAAGTGTTTCGTGCTCGGTTCCAATCGATTTGATCGTAGGGTTCGGTGTGGAGTTCTTTCCGTAGGGACTGAATCAGATCGGTTTTTGGACCGACGAATTTCCGTCCATACAAATATGCCATTGGAATGTAAACCAAGCGACAGTAGCATAACATATTGCCTGCAATTTGTTAAATTCTAAGTTAGCTTCTTCCATATATCTATGATCAATATTGATAAGCTAGTACATTTTCCAACAAAGTTTCATAAATTTCCAACCTGGATAAAAAGGAAAAGATTTCGGAAGAAGCAACATCTCTGGAGGCACTGGATTACAGCCTGACCACTCGTATAATCCAAGAACCTGAAACAAAGAGCCTATATTGTTTTAACCATGTTGTTGGAATTCTTAAATTCACTTGTTTTTCTAAGTGTTCTAACATTTAAGTATGCACTATTGAAATTTAACATAGAAAATGAGCTGATTTAGTTATACCGCCACCCAAAACTTTCCCCAAGACGGAATTGCCACAAGGCCGCCGTGATTGAGAATCCATTGTCTGGCTCTAGCCATGGCTGATTCATCACCATCAAGACCTTCTCCAAGCAACCTCAAGGCAATGTAATTTAAAGCAGTGCCAAACATTGTGCTAGGTCCCAGAATATGAAATCCCCAGCCCCCATCTTCATTCTGCATACAATATTGTGGAAAAGTGATAACAAGTAGCTTTGATGGTGAAGCTCCGTTTTTGTTTTTCACGTTTTTTGAGAAAGAGAAAATGAAAATGTTTTTAAAACGGCGTTTGGCATAATAAAGACAAAAAACAGAAAT